TAACACTTCTTTATAAAGGGGAACACAATAGACAAGCACTATGCTTTTTTTCTTTTTTTTTTTTGGTCCAAGGTCAAACAAATAACAAGTGTATACTTGACTTGTCTAAGTCCAAAACACATTTGCTAATAGCCTGACATTTGACACTCTAGGGCACCTATCTCTGCAGGAAGTGGGAAAAGGTACTTTCCTGGTGAGAAGCTATTGGGTAGTATACATCATGGATCTCCTTTACTGTCCTGGCCTTTCTGGAGTCTGGTCAGCATCAGGCAGTGATGAACATCTATCGTGAGAGCACAATGGTCACTGACCAGTCCTACCCTGTCTGATTCTACATCAGCAGAAATGAAGGCATCTTTCCACTGCTGTCTCCCAGGGTGGGGCTCTCTTCTTATGAATGCCACGGGCGACGCTGACAGTCAATCTCCCCATCCTACCCCCAGGAGCATTTCCATTAGTTTGTCTTACTTAACAGAGGTTCTGGCTCCATTACTCATCTTCAAATGAGTAAGACCCACTTTTCTGGAGTTCCAGGCTGACCTGAAACTTGCAGTCTCAAGAATACTGGGATTAAGGGCACTTTGAGATGTTGTTACACATGGCTTCCCAAAAATATTTTACGTTAATCACTGGGCTTCCGGCATACCTAGGAGACCTTAGAAATAAACTGCATGGGCAAGAGAGTTCTGGAAGTCTGAGATCTTCCTCTTTAAGCCCTTTAATGAACCACAGTTGAGGAAACTTTCACTCCCAATGCTCTCTCCTCTGGGAACAGATTGGCTGTTCCCAGATCCGTCAGAGGGTGGGAACAGAGAGCCAGCAGCAGTCAGACCCGAATGTGTTAGCTAGGCGATCACTTATCAACTGACTAGCTGAAAATGGCAGAAAAGTCTCCTAACACTCTGAAGTTAACAGTTCCACTCCTACACCTCTAAAATTGGAGAGGACCAATCATCCCATGATTTGAAAAAAATTTTTTTTTCCTTTTTTTTCTGAGCCTAACATAATGGCTTCTCAGGAGACTGAAGCATGTGGCGGGGTGGGCTATGATGGCTGTGCCCTCATGAACTAGATTAGCTACTTGCCATTCACAAGATGAAACTCAAACCAGTCTGTGACCTGCTAATGTTCCTCCCCACCTTCCTTTCCTAACTCTGGTTACCCACGTGCTAAGAATCTGACCTTCTTAAAGTGAGTTCTGTCCTTGCTGAGCCATCTTTAAGAGTAAAACAAAGAACCTCCCACAACTTTTTAAGAAGAACAGAGAACACATTCCTACCTTTGCACCAGGAAGCAAGCCAGGTAGGAACTCTGTGGACTCAGGGAATGACACACAGTGACCTTCAGTTCACTGCACAGTTGATAGGATAACCTGAGGGTGGGGGGTGGGGGCCAGCCCATGGAAGGCACTTTTCCTTTACACCACAGGGCAGGCAACAAGGTGAGCAAGTGAGCAAGGTTGAGTGTGCAAAGCACAAGGGGGCATGTGTGCGTGTACTGTGCTTGGCTCTCTCTCCCAGATCCAACTGAAAGGACATGCTGCTACACATACTGCAAGAGATGCTCCTCTGGACAAAAGCTTAGATGCCACATGCAGGAGAGGAGAGTTGATTAGCGTGTCATTTTTGGTTCACCAGAAACTCTGTTTTCTTTCTTTTTTTTTCCCCCCCTCTGGTTTTTTGAGACAGGGTTTCTCTATGTTGCTTTGGAGGTTTGGAGGTTGTCCTGGAACTCACTCTGTAGACCAGGCTGGCCTCCAACTCCAACCTGCTTCTGCCTCCCTTACTGGGATTAAAGGCGTGCGCCACCAACACCCAGCTTTGACTACGTTTTCTAATCCACTGATGTTTAAATACTTTCCAGGGCAAACTAAGGTTGGACTGACATCATGAGAGTTAAGTGTGCAGCCTAGCCTGCGCTATCACCCAAGGCTTCACTGGATTTCAGAGCCTTCTGCTTCTAGTGGAAAGCAGGGACATAAATAACGAGGCTGCTATTTCCCCATTGTGCACTGCCATTAGTTTTACCTCTCCAAGTACTCATGTTTTGCATATTTCCTGTCTAATCATCACAGGATATTCCTCCTATTGGATACAGAAGAAACTGTGGTTTGGTATGTTCGATAGTAATGGAGTGGTGGGGGCTGGGTTCAACTCCCTGCTCTTCCTTCTTAGGCTGATATAATTTCATGAGTTTCTAATAGCTTTGGGCTTTGGAGACCGCCTTTACACTTAAAGCAACAGGAAGTTAGAAACTGATTTTTGAGCTATGAAAATAGCTATTTAATACTATGTGCCAACAACTCGTCCAAGACACTGCTTCCTGGGTGGAGTGAGCACGTTAGTTCTAACAGAGGAGTAAGATCTGACAAGGAACAGCATCCACTGCTCAGAGTTTAGCATGTGACCACTTGTCCTTAAAGTTCCCGTCCATTTTGTATTTTTCTGTCTCTGTGACTTTCCCATTTGGCCCATCAGCTTATCCATTATACAACCTACATGATTATAGCAGGGCAGGACTGTCACTTCCTGGATCTGGCCAGACTCACACATGCCACTTGGAAGAGATCTAGTTACAGGTGTAAAGGACACTCCAAGCCCAATTGGTCATGTTTGCATTCATGCTCCAAGGTCAGATAACAAGGTCAGATAACAACACTCCATAAGTCGTTGTATCTTTAAATGCTATAGTCTTCCACACTTACCATGTACAACTGACTCAGAACTTTCCCTCTCTGACCAAGACAGAAATGGAGGCTTGGAGACATTAAGTTGAAGCCAAAAGTTGATCAGGATATATACTTCCACACATTTATTCAGTCTGCAGAGTTAATGAGTCATTAATACCTCTCCAAATATGAATTCTCAACATCTGTTCTGAAAGATGCCAAGAGGAGGGTCCAGTTAGGGTCCCTCTGGGGATGCAGGGTACTCAGAACTGTCCAGAAACACCAGCCAGTGCTCTATTATTCACTTGACTGAAAGTGACTGTAATTTTCTAAGGTGTGAGGAGGATTGGGACAGGGAGATGAGGAGACTCTGCTACTAAAGTAAAAGCTAAGGACAGAGAGACAGAAATGACCCAGATAAGGGACAGGAGACAACTGGGAAGGTGAGGGACTGAAAACTTCGCCTGTGACTCAGACCAAAGGGCAGGAATGCATATTTCCGAGATGAGCCACTGACATTCCTTCGGAGAAGTGAGGGTTTGTCAGGTCAGTCCAGCTGCTGAGCACACTAAATATAGGTGCTAATAGGAAGTACTGGGAAGAAGAGGGGAAGACAGGGTGGGGGCAGGGATGGAGTGCCTCAGCCAGAGCAAGATCAATTGCAAACCCTTACTCAAAGCATCAGACACTTTCACTATTTATTTTGGAAGGTGAGATTTCTTTCCAGAAAAGTGCCTGGAAAAAAACTTACTTTACTTTATTAAATTATTTATTTCTGCCAGTCATGGAAGCACAAGCCTTTAATCCTAGCACTTGGGAACAGAGGCAGGCAGATCTAAGTTTGAGGATAGCCTGGTCTACAGAGGGAGTTCTAGGACAGCCAGGGCTACACAGAGAAACCTTGTCTCAAAAAAACAAAAACTGAAATAAATAAATTACTTATTTCTCCAAGGTTTACAGTTTTTTGTTTTTAAGTAAAGGATGACTGTGTGGTCATTTTTCCTTCAAGTTAAGTTATTATAAAGCAACATCATGACTAAAGACCAACTTTTAAGTGGCATAAGAGCTGTGTATAAATGTAATCACCACGATTCTAGTGCCTCTAGCAGAAGAGGACACGGAAGACCAGTACAATACTGACTCTCCTAAATCAGAGCCTGGCCTCAACCTTTCCAAGGACCCACTTTTGATACAATAGCTGCTGGAATCTGTGGACCATGAAACAGGGTTAAGCTGTTTTATATACTTACACATTTTTCTTTGTTCACTTCCCACCTAAATTTATCTGAAAATACTCTGGGATTTTTCCTTCCCTGGAGGACTTGTTGCCTTAGTGTGATAAGACAATGCTTGCCGCCTTAGAATTCTGCAGTTTCTTCCTCTTCGCACCCAAGAAGAGCAAGACATGTCAGCAACAGTGCAGTGCGCTCAGTGGCTGCACAAGGCCCCAAAACTGTCACCTCCAGATGGCTGTTTCCAAACGCCAAACGAGGAGTCACTGCCACCCCTCACCTCTGAAACCTCAAGGTCACTTACAGTGTGAGAACCCAAAAGAGGTTATGCAACACTTCGCTCTTCTCCCAGCTCTGTCCTCCACGCAGAAGAACCACACAGTAAATTTGTGTTTACTGTTGCTCAGCTGCCTGTCATTTATCCCCAGGTTTGTGGCCAGTGGCCTTTCATGGTGTGTGAACTCAACACCAACAGCAACCAAGTCATAGAAGTGAACGCTTGTGGAGGATTGTCTTTTCTATGATAATCTTTTTGTTCGCTGAAGTTTTTTAGTGAGAACAGAGACAGCTAAACTAGAAAGGGGGCTCACAAAATCACAAACAGGCCTGTTGAGACATGCAAAGAGGAAGGGAGGAAGTGTGTGTGTGTGTGTGTGTGTGTGTGTGTGTGTGTTCAAGGTCAAACTGCAAATCAGTAACAGGTGAGCCATGGCTCCTTCCTATGGGCAGATTTTTTAAGAGTGTATCTGAGTTATGGTCACCTTACAAGTGAAAAATTGTGTCAGAGCTGAAAAGGCCCTAGAATGATCGCACTGACCAAGCCCTTGAGTCTTAAGGCCAAGTAGAATGGAGCCCCAACAGGACCTGATGTGCTCAGTCACACTGTGATGCTATGTGCTCCACCCTCATCCAGAGCTGTGAAGACATCTGCAGCCATCTGGAGCTCAGCCGCAATGCGGCCAGAGCTGCGGCTGCAAGTCTTCCCAATTCCTTCCCATGCCTAGCTTGAAGTTCTACTACAGAACAATTTTCTCAAGGTGTCTTCTTGGTTGGAAGTGGCACCCCTTTTACCGATGAAGAAGCCCCTCCCTGGGTTTTACCTGGCGGGGCCACGCGGTCCTGGTATGTGGGCTTCAGTTCACTGATGGTAAGCAGCATCACCTGGATGGTCCCAATGAAGATGCCAGCCAGGCAGCCATAAAATATCACGTAGAACAGAAGGATCTTAACTGTGGGGAGAACAGACAGACATGGGTGTGATGTAGTCACACATGCAGAATCCAAGCCTACCCTTCCCAAAAAGGACCTTAACTCTTTCCCAGTTCCTCTCCAACCTGTTTCTCTAGCTCTTCCTTTGCCAGCACTAATCTAAAGACGGAACCCCACTCTTTCTTGGAAGGTACAGGTGGAGGAATGCTCAACGATAGCTAAAAGTCTAACAGGGAGTCGCTTCTTCCTCTGAAAAGCCTCATTCAGCAGTGCAAACCTGCAGCCACATTCACACACTTATGCAATGCACCTGACACACAACAGCATGCCTCCTAAGGGGCAGTGCTCTGCTGTTCCCCCAGACACTGAGATGCCTAAGAACAACCAACTCAGAAATACACGCTGAAGCTCTCCTTGTCAAGTCTCTCTACAAAGCACTTTTGTTTTCTTCAGGGGCACAGGGCAATTGGGAACCAATCAGACATACAAAGGAAATCCTATGGTACAAATGGCCACCATTTTTACCTCCTCTTCTGAGCAGAAGAGTTAACAACTGGCTGTGTATGTGTTGACTATATTTTCTTTTTCTCAGCAGTTTGCAGGCTGAATAAGAATGAATTTTAAAAATTAAAAAAAAAAAAAAACATGCAAGCAAGCAAACAAAAACCACCTTGAACCAACATGAAGCCCGTGGAGTGGAATAAAGCTATCAGTTACTGGTTTACAAGGATTATCTGCCTGATTAGCAGCATAGTAACAGGCTGTACTAGGCATCGCCTGGCTGTCCTGTGCCAGCCAAACAACTCAAAGGGAAAAGTGGAACCAAGAGAACTGTAAGGTTATCAGAAACCTGACTACACAAAGGAGGCATGGATTACCTCTAAAGGGTCTCTAGGAAAATGTCACAGAGTAAAAGTATTATTGAAAAATATGGTTCTATGAAGTGGGCACACAGTTGTGGAAATGAGCCATGCAGCCCTCTCCATACATGAGAAAACACCCAATGTTCCCATCAAGAATGGATTCTTCAAGACAACCATGGAGCTGTTGAAACAAACCAAACACACATAAAAGCCCACACAAAAATGATGAAGCTAATCCCTTATCTCCCTATATAAAGATACAAGCAAAGAGGAGGAGAGAGATGGCTGCCTCATCTAGTACCATAGCCCTCAGCTTGGTCCCTTCCTCCCGGCAAGACAAGGGTTAAGTGCTGCATTTTGTATCCAGGCAGCAGTAGGCAAATGGCAAGGTTGTGACGTCAAGGGATCTGGAAAATTTTTCCAGCGAATGCTCTGAAGAGGTACAGAGTTGGTATAACCCAGTCAGCAAGACAGCCCCTGAGAGCCTAGTTTCTCTGCTGCTTTCTTGTCCAGCCGCCCTCCCTTCCAATGTCATCCTTGGTGCTCTTAGCGTAACCACATTTGCCTCCTCTAACAACTACAATCTTTCTACTCATTCCCCAGACCCCAGAGAGCTAATCCTAACCCAAGAAAGTACACAACTGAGGCTACTATTCAAAAGACGAATAGATGGGAAAATGAGTCATTTTTACAAGCACAACGATTAAGCTCAAGAACATACACACCCTTTCCACTCTACCTAGAGGACACCAGAGCCAAGTGAAGAATTCTGCTGCTGCTGCTGCTGCTGCTGCTGCTGGAGATTTACTTAGTAAATCTGTCACTGCAGTGAAGTCATTTGGTTAGAGTGCAGAATGCAGGTCTGGCGAGCTTTGGCAATGGACTCTCCAAGACCAAGGCTACCAGTGGCACTGAGAAACAGAAGTGAAGGCTAGCTTAACCCACTGAGTGGCATGAGGTGGGGAGTTTGGGGTGTAAGCTTTAGAAACACTTTTTCCCCCCTCGAAAGTAATTTTTCTTTTCTTTCTGTATTTAAAGAACATGGAGGAACAGTGGATGTTATGCTTAAGATATATATATATATTATAAATATAAATATAAAAACCTGCCACCACCTGTATTAACTTAATTAAAAGGTAGGAAGCACAAAGTGATTTGTAAGTTGTGATTTCTCCAGCAGGTGACAGACTCGAGCCTCCTGCCGTCCATCTTGGTGAGAAATCTACCTATAAGCAAAACGGAGCCAAGGGCATCCTGCCCTGGTCCCAAGGGCATCCATGTTGGGCCCAGAGCTGGAAAGGGGCAGGCGTCTCTGTCTCTCTCTCTGAGACAGCTACTGCTGCCATATCATCTGCCTTGGAGCAGGGCTGCCATTTCTTACATTGTCAGAAAGGAACAGACAAAACAACCTGGGTTTCGAGCTCAGCACCTACAAAATGGAAGATGAGTTCAGATGGCTGCTTCATGTAAATCAGTGTGCATCACTGCTTAATTGGATGTCATTATAGAGACCACACATTCTCCTCTCTCTCCTGTCATGGTAGGGCTGCCCCATTAAATGCCAACTTAAAGAACAAATTGTTCCATACTGCCTTCCTAACCCTCTAAAGCAAATATTATTCAGAGAAGGAGTGTGAGACTGGAATGAGGAAAGAAATATATTTAAGAAGTGGAAAAACACTAGAGGGCAAATTTCACAAGGTACCTGGAGTCAGTACTGCTCCTGGTTCTGTGACGCTGCAGGGGCCAGACCACCAGGAAAAGCAGCCCCCAGCTAACCTGGGAGGAGGGGCCAGTTCCGCAGTGCACCTCCTAGGCCTAGCTGAGTTACAGGGAGTTGCTATTAGGAAATAACCCTGGCTGTTCATCCTATACACACCTCAGGTTTCCCCTTCCACTTTAAAGAAACACGGGAGGACTATGGCCGTACCTCCCATTGAAGAACAGTCTCCCCAAACAAAATGAAATATGAAGTGAAGTAAAAAGCCACTAATTTAAAGAACTACATTTCTCCACGGCTCGGGGGTACCCATGCTTCGAAGAAATGCAGTGGAATGAGGCTTCACCTTGACTAACCTTGAAGTATGATGCATTATTAACCCTTCATTTTTTTCAGTTGAGAGGCTCCCTGACTGCATTTTTTTTTCTTCAGGAAAAAAAAAAAAAAAGACATATATCCCAGCTTCTCCCTTTTCAAAATGTCAGCCAAGCACCATTTCCCTGACTCATTCTCCAGTCTATTTCCATAGACCCTCCCCAAACAGGAACACTGCATCGCTAGTTTCAGGGTTCCCTTGGTGACTGCAATGCTGGTGTTATAGGGGAGGGAGGGGGAGGCGGGGAAAGGGGAGGTAGAGGTGCTGCTGGTGGCGATGGTGTTACTGGAGAAGGAGGGGGCAGTGATGCAGCAGAGGGGAGTTCCCTCCCTCCCTTCCGCAGTCACGACTCGTGGATTTGTCTACAACCGTGCCCTTCAAAATGACCTTTTATAAAACTACCACCTTCCCCGTTAAAAGAGGTTAAAAAAAACAAATATGGTATCTAATTTTCAATGGGGTATGAGGGGATTCCAGCCGAGGAAGCAACAGGCTGCATGGAATCTTCTAAGATGACCTGTTTCTTCATTTGTACCATGTAGATCTTAAAAACACCAGACTGCCATGTGTCTCGCCAAGGCTTGAAGACGGGCCCTGACATGGAGCTCACTGGGCCATTTCTGGGCTATGATGACTCTAAGGACCGTCTCTAGGGTAAACCCTAGACGTGGCCATGAAATACTGCAGTGTGGATGCATTTCTCCTCCCCATTCCTCTCCATTCTAGGTACGTTTTTAGGCTGGAAGAACGATGCTTTCACAGCATCGCCTGCATTAGAATAGGTTAGCTCACGAGTTTCTCTCACAGCCCCAAATCTCATTTATCTAAGGTGTTGGGGGATGGAGAGGGAAGGCACATACATAGTCTCCTGGAACCTGACCGAATTTCCCAGGAGACGAAGATCCCTACCATGCCCAGAACCCTCAGTCTAGCCAGCCCCAGCCCCTACCCGCGCCGCATCCTAGGGACCCCTCATTTGTCACTGAATGCCAAGCCCAGGCCCGCGCGCTGCTAGCATCGCCTATCACCCAATCCCGGACACCCTGGACAGCCCCGCGGGCGCCGAACAGTCCGCAGTGCCCGCGCACAGGGATGCGCCTCCTAGGAAAAGCCAAGCGCGGGCGGCGAGAGCCTGCGGAGCCCCGTACTTACACCAACTACCACCGGTCCTGCCCAAAAACTCCTTCTTCTCCGAGTTCCAGATGAATTTCTTCCAGCTGCCTTCCTCCTTGGCTTTTCCGCGGGCCATGGTGGCGGCTCAGCAGTGGTGGCCGAGGCCAAGGGAAGG